TCATACACACACACACACACACACACACACACACACACACACAGAGTCCTTTTGCAGCTTGCTTTTTTCACGCACTTTCATTATGTTCAGACGTCCCCATTCTGATACATATAGCACATCCATTTTAGTTGCCATAGAGTAGTATATCATTGTTGTTTCAATTTACATTTCCCTGATTACTTAGCCTAAAATTTATTTGGAAAAGTAAAGAGCCAAAGCAACTTGAAAGACGAAAAAGAATAAAATGAGACTTATTCGCCCTATTATAATGATACTAAGACTTATTTAGGTGTTTGCAGTGCTGTCCCATAGAACTTTCTATAATCATGGAGCTATTCCATACCCGGGCTATTCAATATGGCAGCCACTAGCCACCTATGGCTATTGAGCACCGGAAATGTGGCTAGTGTGACCAAGGAACTGAATTTTTACTTTAATTTAATTAAAATGTAAACAGCCACATGTGATAGTGACTACCCTATTGGACAGAACAGACTTAGAGCATCGAAACATTGCGATAAAGTTGTAGAGACTACAGCAGACCAGTAGACCAAAGGGACAGACACACGAATCTAGAGACAGACGCTAATGTTTGGCATGCACCACAACAGTAAAGGTATTCCCAGCCTTGATTGATTACAGGCAGAGGATATGACGAATTTTCTCTCTGTAATTTTCTTCAAAATTCCTCGGAATTTCCTCATCATAATGCCAGATAATAAGGCACATAAAGTCAACCTCATTAATTTATAGTCGCATCTCACTTCAGGCTTCAACTGGGATTACCAGACTCAATCAATCACCTCTTTTTTTTCCAAGAAGTTGCCAAATGTCCCTGAAACATTTCTAAAACAGAATCTTCTCTCTCTAGGTGATAGTGACGTGTGCATTGGTCTGGGGATCCCAACAGACTGTCTGATCTGCATTTGGGGACTGTTAACCTCTTTTCCCAGCCCCAGGCATCAGTCCTCAGCCAGTACCTGCATTAAAGCACAGGCTCGGAGCTAGATCACACGGGCTCCAATCCTGGCTCTACCACTTTCCACAGTTATGACCAAGGTGTAGAACTTGGCTGCAGCTGGCTATTGACTCATCTGTACAATGGGAATAAGCACTTCCCTCAGAGGTTTGTGGTGAGGATAGCATGATACATGAATGTACTGTGCTCAGTTCAACACAGTAGCGAGTTCCTGTAATGAGTAGGTACTCCATAAACATATGCTAAGTTGATAAAAATATCATCTGTACGGTAGAGGGTTTCAAGTTATGTGACAGCGGTAGATTAAAGATCAACAAATATTCCTTCTCCCGCTGACCCATTATCCTACTTGGTCACGTTCGGTCAATGGAACGTGATGAGACATGATCGTATGCCAATCAAGCTGACGCTGTAAGAGGCTCTGTGTGTTTCTGCTCACCTTTCTTGAGCTCCCACCCTCCGTGGTAGGAAGAACATTCCCCAGGCCTGGGTCTTAACATAAGAGGCATGTGGAGCCTCTGGCCAAGGCCCAGATTAGCCACCGCCAATGTGCAAACCTGGCAGCAAGCAAAACAATGCTTGTGGTTGTAAGTCACTCAGATCTCAGGGGTTATCCAAGATAAGGTTGGAGCAAAACTGAAGGCAGTGACCCACACTTAAAATCATCAGTCTCACGTAGGTGTGCGTTGAAGAGTGCAATGCTCACTTAGGTGGGCAGGCTGTACTGTGATTTGCAGATTCATTGGTAATATGGCTTAATATGTTGTCTCTTATGTGGTAGTAACACACTGTTTCCTTTGGCCAATAGCTGTGAATAAATCTTGTCACCTCTCTGTAAATCCAGTGGTTTATCGTCTAAGCAGGAAGAGCAGTTGTTGAGCTCAAACTAGTGAGTATCTTGAAATTTTTTTTTTTTAGAAGAAAATATGAGGAACTTACCTCAGGATATGAGGCTTTCTCACATCCGAGTGAAACATTCAAAATGAGTTAAAAGTTCTACCCTCTAAAGGGCAATTACAAAAGGAAAAAAAAAAAAGTCCAAAGAAACCCTTTTAATGCCTATAATTTTCCTAGTACTTACATGTCCCATTAAAAAGAAAAATGACATTAAAATAATTTTAAAGGCTTTGGCTTAAGCCCACTGAAATAAGGAAATTCCCCCTCTTAGAATCAAGCTCTTGTTATCTCGGCCCAGCCTGCATTAAGGACGGACTCCTGCAGAGATGCGATCCGGTGACTGGGTTCCAGCTGGGAACAGCCATGCCGAAATTAATATGACGCCAACCTTCCCATAATGGGGCCTACATGGCGGCTCCTGGCCTTGTGTGTCTCTTAAGAGCCCTTCAGATGGAACTCTGCCAAATTTCTTCCTGCAGCCATCCTATTTAGGGTTTGTTCCTGTGTGTTTTTCTAATGCCAGGTCTGGCCTTTTAAGATTGTTTGGTCTTTTTTCATATAAACATGTGACTCATCTAGCACAGCCATAAGCAGCTGATCGATGTGAGGTTTTGTAGTTACTTTTGAATCCTTCATTTCTCCTTGTGTCTCATTTTTTGCCCTTGGTTTTAATCAGACTTTGCCACTGCTGAGAAGTAAGTATTGGTATGCAAACAGTCTATGTGTCCATGGGTAGAAGAATGGATAAAGAAAATGTGGTATACACATACAGTGGGGTATTATTCAGCCATGAAAATGAATGAAATTTTGCCATCTGCAAAATCATGGATGGACCTTGAGGGCATTATGCTAAGTGAAATAAATCAGACAGAGAAAGATAAAAACTAGAGGATCCCACTTAGAAGTGAAATACTAAAAACACAAACCAAGGAGCTGATAGATACAGAGAACAGATTGGTGGTTGCCAGAGGAGGGGTGGGGTGGAGGGGGAATAGGTAAAGGGGGTCAAAGGTACAAACTTCCAGTTACAACATAAGCAAGCCATGGGGATGTCATGTACGGCATGGTGACTATAGCTAACAATGCCATGTTGTATATTTGAAAGTTGCTAAGAGAATAGATGTTAAAAGTTCTCATCACAAGAAAAAAAATGTGTAACTATGTGTGGTGATGGAGGTTCACTAGACTTACTGTGGTGATCATTTTGGAATATATACAGATATTGAGTCATTCTATTGTACATCTGAGACAAATATAATGTTATATGTCAATTACACCTCAAAAAATCATAATTCAGGTACAAATAAATAACTAATAACTAATGTTTGCATGCCAAGACAACAACAACAAAATAAAGAGAGGTAGGTATTAGAATCTTTTGGCGGGCTATTATCTATTAAATTGATAAAAATGTTCAACCTGTTAAGTAAGAAGCCGCTGAGAAAGAAATCTGGTAACTTAGCTCCTGTGTTTTCATTTAACTCATGGTGTCCCTCCTGGCATGTGGTTGTTTCTCCTACAAGGAGTTGCAGGAACAGGGTACCAACACATTACTGGCTGCCTGTCAGACTCCTGTCAAGTGGCAATGATTTTCAATCACTGCCAAGCAGGTTCTAAATTTGAACCAGTGACCTAGGAAGAAAGTCTCTATAGCCCATTAACAAATTCTTCTCTGAGCCCTTCGCTTCCCCGACTAACACCATTTCCAATAAACTCCACTTTTGTCATTGAATCTGTCAACATGCCTACAAATCCCTGAAGGGTGAAATTAATTTGAACTACAGAGTTGGACAAACAAGCTCAAAAGTGCCTTCTTCAGGAATAGAAGCCAATATTTCAGACATTGATCTATTTGAAAAAAAATGGCCTCAGTTTCCCTCTTGGAACTTGGGTGGGAGTGGAAGCTATATACAGTTATACATGGCAAATCTTAAATATTCCAGATTGTATTTTTTTTTCTTTTCTTTTCTTTTTTTTTTTTTTGCGTCAAGTAGATGAACTCTGTATGCTGGTGGCTGAAGCTCTTAGAGGTTAAAAACAGACTACCTCTGAAGAGTCCTTCCTCTGACCAGGTTACCTGAGAGATTCAGTTTAATCGTATTAGGAAAACACACTTCCAGAGCATTTGAAACCCTGCTTATTTATTTATGCATTTTACTCTCCTTGCTGTCAACTATAAACCCAAAGTGAGTTGCAGGAGCGTCCTGTGGCAGGAAATAGATTATCTCATACTTTCTATCTCGCTACCATCTGCAGAGTTCAAACCTTATTGGAAGCCCATATTTTCTTAAACTTTGATAATATTTGTTGTGAACTGGCCCAGAAAATAACTAGATATTGCATGAAGCTACATTGAGCACGTTCTCTTTCCTTGAAGGCAGGAAGGTGTGGTAGAGAGTGAGGGAAACCGTTTGCTCCTGTCATGAGTCAGTAACAGAGCATCTGAGCCCCTTTGACCCGTCCTGGATTCCCTGTGTTGATTTCCTGTGGTTTTATAGACACACAGGAGGCACACACACACATTTGTCTAGGACTAAACGGTACTCACATCTTATTATAGAACATACTTCAGCCTTGCAGGGAGGCAAGAGGGGCAGGTGAGGGGTGGGCTTCAGCAAATATTCAAGACAGATACAAGTCAACAAAAATACCACCTTCAAATGTCAAAAGGTAAACCTCCCCCCTCCACTCCATATATATATTCAATTCACCCATTAAACAAATCTACATTTGCTACCTGCTCTATGGAGAGGGTAAGTTCTACTAAGTTCTACAGTCAAAGACCTGGGTTCAGGTTTTGGCTTCCCTTTGCCAACTGAAGCTCTCTGCCTCGCTCCCTCCTCGGGTGTGAAATATGAATTAAAAGCCCTCAGACATGCGGTTACCTCCTGTGGTAACCACCACATGATAGGCTCTCAGTAGATGGCCATTGCTGCATCACCAGTGCATCGTTATCATTATTATCACATACAAATAGATCCACAACATAGCCTTATGGGTTGTAGAAAACTCCAAATGGGGTCAGTCAAACTGCTGGCTTTTAGCTGTAAGTATCCCGGATCTCCTGCCTGAGGGCTTTCTCAGGACACTTCAGGGCAGGCCAGAAGTACCAGGGTCTTAACACCCTGGGAACAGTCATGACAAATGAGAGTTGGAGGATAAATGTCCCCTGGCTTCCTTGTCCCTGGGTGAGAAAACCGAAGTGTGTTCTGTACAGTTTCACCAAGGTCCACAGTTAGACTGAGCCTCAGTTGCCCACACCAGTAACCTACACACTCACAAACCTTACTGTGGCCTCTGGCCTCCTCTGTCAAACTTGCCCATTTACCTACCAGAGCATCTGAGACCACTAACCAAAGAAGCTGCTTGCACTCAAATCCTTGCATCCAGATCTGCTCTCGGGGAGCCCAAATTCAAACACTTTCCTTAAACCAACCTTATTCTCAAGCTCTCGACCTGGAGTTGCCATATGAGAACTCAACCAGGTCCCAAATCTGCATTGACAGTTCAGGGTGTCCGGCTTTGTGACTTGAGGTTTGGGCTTATATTTGAAAGCACTTTCCTTTTTCTGCTCAGTGAATCTAATACATATGGCTTGTCTTTCCAGGACACAGAGTGCTCTTCTTTGTCACCCACTCTGATGGATATGTGACTCTCTTTAGGAGGAGCACTCATCTTTGACACCCAAAGATCTATTTAATATACACCACACATCCTATACTTGAAGTCAGACCTTCCCAGACAAGCCCTCCAAACTCAGTGGAAAACCATCCAACCATTTCACGTAGTATAATAGCAGACACTTAATTTTATTAATAGAAATATAAGCTATCCAATTGAAAATTGATTTTCCTTTATTCACAGAGCATGTGGGGAATACAAATGATTTTCCAGATATCCCTAGATATGCCTAAGCCTAGGCAAGAGAAACAAAATAATGACCCAGAAAAAGCAAATGAATGAAGCTAATCAGGTTTATAATTTAAGATGAGTGAATTTAATGGTGCATGAGTTAGAAATATCTGCCACACCAAGACTGACACTTCCTCTAATGCCGCTGCTAAGGAAATGTATTTCAATGACCTCACAGTTTTTGTTTTAAAATCATTATTGCTCTTTGCATGTATAATTGTAACCTGGGCAATTAGAACATAAACAATTTCTTCCTTGGTCCCTCTCTCTAGTCTCGGTAGCATAACCAAGGCAGCAGTCTTAACGCAAGTGTGCCCAGAAATAGCATATTGACGTAGCATTTTGATTTTAGTTCAGTCCTGGATGTGTGGTCTAGACCTCAGTTTGTTCACCAACTCTGAACCTGGACAAGCCACGTAACCTCGGCTACCTAAACTCCTGTCTCCATCAACAGGGAGGAAGACTGACTTCATAGGACAGTCCTGAGTTTCAGTGAGATAAAGTGGGTATAATCACTTTGTAAACTGTGTACGCACTAGATAGTCAGTTAATGTTTTTATTATCTCAGGTGATCTTTACAATTGCTCTATGAGCTAGAGAAGGCAGATTCCTGTTTTCTTTTCGCAGACGAGCAACTGAGGATTACAAAGGTTAGCTCACTTTGGCTGGCAAAGGTCAGAGGTCAGGACTAGAACCCATCCTCCTCCAGTTCTGAGATGAATTCCTTTCCTCTCCACAGTGATTCTAGAGATTTCCAGAACACTGGAATCAAGCTGGGGGAGCTTGTTAAAACTGCAGTTTCCCTTTCTTTCCTCTCTACCCTGTTCCCATCCCAAAGATACTGACTTAATGGGACTGAGACCAGTTTTAGGAATCTTCATTTTGAATTACCCCTTGAGATCATTCTGATGCAGGGGGTCATGGACCACATTTTCAGAACACTCAGCTGTTACCACACATTGTTTACCAGAATTAAGTTCAACAGGACTTTGGAATTAAAGAAAGTTCCTATTTGCTGGAGTAAGGAAATTTGGGTAATTATTATTAAAGATAATAACAATGGTTACTATTAATTGGGTCCTTAATAGGCACCAACCACTGTGCTAAATATTTTATGTGCATTATCTAAATGAAGCAAGTCCCATTACCCTCGGTTTTATGGTGAAACATCTGATCTCAAAGAGATCAAATAAATTCCACCAGTTCTCTATATAATAAATAGCAAAGAAATGACTTGAACCCAGATTTGTTTAATGTCAAACCCATGCAGTTAGCCATTCTATTCTATAGGGAACAAATAAATGAGGAAGGGGAAAGAATTCTGTACAAATTGAGTCTCTGAGTCTAACAAAGTCACACCATGGTTGAACAAATTCAAAGAGGGCTATGGCTGATTTCAGGTACTTTCTGTAATCTGGTTTATTCTAACAATGAACCATTCATTGTTAGGGGCCCAGTCATCTGGTATCAGACCTCAGGAGTGAGGTGGTGTGTTAGTTATCTATTGCTATGTACGTTAGCCCAAACACAGCAGTTTAAAACAACACACGTATTATCTCATACAGTTTCTTAGGGTAAGGAACTTGAGAGTAGCTTACCTGAGTGGTTCCAACCCAGAATCTCTCACAAGGTTGCATTCAAGCTGTGGGTTGGGGCTGCAGTTATCTCCAGGCTGGACCAGGGCTGGAGAATGTGCTTCTGAGACAGCTCACACACCTAGCAGTTGGAAGTCCCTCCCCACCAAGGCCTCTTGGCAGGGCTGCCTGAGTGTCCTCACAGCATGGCAGCTGGCTTTGTCCAGAGATGTTATCTAAGAGAAGGATCAAGACAGAAGCCATGTGACTTTTATGACCTGATCGCATAAGACTCTGACTATCACTTCTGCTAGGTTCTATTAATTAACAGTATATCACTAATTCCAGTCCACAGGCAAGAGAGAAGAATTAGGTTCTACTGCTTAAGAGTATCAAAGGATTTGTGAATCAATCACAGGATTGTTTCCTCTGGCAACCAGCTCCATCATTAGGTGACCTAGGGGCATTCCAAAAGTCACCTCATTAACAAAACAAAAGACACCTTTATCTTTCTCACCACTTAGGAACTTCAAAAGGTTTTAGAATCTCTGCTGTAGAAATGGGGACAAAGACCAAATATAACAAAGTGAGGGCCTGAATTGGGTGCTCGGGAATCATTTATTTATCTTTAGACCTGACAAGTGTTAGGTTCTGGAGATGTGAGCTCCATGATTAAAGAATCTTAGAGTCTAGGGGTCACTGAAATGTATCAAATAATTACCCATGTAAGTTTATAATTATAGACAAAGGCACTGAAGGCAAGGGAGCAGATGTGATGAGTGTATATAACTAGGAGGTAAGTAGGTTTGTGCGGAAGGCGGAGCATTCAGGCAGAGAGAAAGGCATGTGCAAAGGCCCGGAGCCTGAGAAGCTCGGCCAGTCTGTGGAACTGAAGAGAGCCAATTCAGCTGGGGCACAGAGACATGAGGAAGTGTACCTCATGCTCTGCTAGTCACATTGGCAGGGCTGACACCTGTAGGATGTCTTAGGTCAAGTTCATGAAGTTGGTCTTCCTTCTAAAAGGTATTTAGAGATTGTAGAGTACTGGACTTACAGTGTAGCACAGAAGACAGAAACTGAAAACTTTAATGAGAGTAAAGTATGTGGTCATGGAAGAATTGCCCAGCGCTAGGAAAAGACATTGCAGACAGGGGTCTTCGCTAGTCAGTCCCCGTGATGTCATCATGTCTCCAAGTTCTTGTACTTTCATGAAGGTCTTGAAATGTCCATGATCTCATTTTTAGCATCTCGGTCACAACCCTTTGGAAGAAAACATTCATGTTTTCCAGAATGATTGTGTCCTTAGCTGGGGCTTCCAACTGTGTTAGGTCTCACCTCTCATCATCTAGACTCAACTGTCCCTCTTAGGGTCTGCTCATGCGCATTCCAGCTGTGTTCACATAACGAAAGGCCCAGGGCTGAAGTGTCTGACCTTCAGAGAGTGCAGACACTCGAAGTAGATGCCTGCTTATTTAGAAGTTCTTGGTTTGAGTGGCATCTCAGCTAGAAACTCTATTAACCTCTGGAAATCTGACCAAAAAAACCTATTTATTTATACATAGGCAGATTCCTTTTCTCCCTTTCTTTTTTTGGTATGCGAATATACGTGTCTGCACTGCACTGTGCTGTAACTCTCTGAGCAGAGGCTGCACGTCTGTAAGATCTGAAGCTTATAAAGTTGAATTCTTTAAACGTAAAATAATAAAAGCAATAATAATAAAGGACTGGTCCCCCCCTCCCCCCACAGCAGGGTTGTCTGCACGATTATGAGTGGTTCCATTTTGATTTTCCAAGCTTGCTGCAAATGGGCCTGAATCGGACTCGATTTCCCGTCATAATTGCTTTCTGCGTGAAGAGGTCTTTTCCAGAACCGTCTGCTGCTGTTTTAATGGGAAGCCTGTCTATTTGTATGTTAATAGTTTCCTCTGGGTTATTGGGCTTGTTGATGGAAAAGCCCAAATCAGATGCTTTACTATTTTCAAGGTTTCCTATTAATCTCTGATTTTTTGTGCCAACACAAAGCCATTTCAGGCTCCTGTGCTCTAAATCCTCTTAATGAAAGCAAGAGGAATAGCGACATGCTTCCTTTCATGAAGCACAGTTGTGCCAATATACCCACAACTTGCTGGCTCAGTGGTCCTTCCTGTGCCCAGGTCCTTCCACAGGTGAGTTTGCTGAAAAGAAGGCAGTCCCAGGTAACTCATTTGCTCAGCTCCTGGGCGGCCCAGGCTCATGTCTGCTGACTTTGCTGAATGAGATCACCTGTACCAGGTAAACGATCTTTGTAGCAATGCCACGGCCGTGATGAACCCAGGGAGACAACCCAGAACTCAGCGCTAGAAATGGAACAGGCTAGGCTTTGAATCCAAACTCCGCACTGAACAGCCTTATAATATGCAGCCAGTCCCAACTTCCCTGATTTTCAGTTCCCTCATTGTTAAAAAAAAAAAAAAAGGAAGAAGGAAAGAAACAAGAGCAATCATTCTCTTGTATGATTTATCTCTTATTTATTGTGATGTCTAATAATATAGTATCCCTGAAGATATCTTATGTCCGGCAAATATTAGCCCTTTGATACATAATTGTTAAAACTCAGAAACTCAGAATCTGGTCATCATAATACACTCATCCATTGTTTTGTCTATCCTGGCAGGGATGTTTATCTCTTTTGCTTTCTGTTGCTTCTCCCCAGTGCCTAGAACAATGGTGTGCCCATACCAGGTGCTTCATAAACAGCTATAGACAAAAAAAACTGCATGGATTCAGTCATCACATGTTTCCCCGAGTCCTTAGGTCAAACACCAGGACCTTCGGAATGAAAATACGCTGTTCTTATTTCTGAGAGCTCTTGGCATTTGAGCAGTGGGTAGATGGAGAGGTCAGCAGGGAACAAAGATATAAATAAATAATTACAATCATGAGCAGTGTCTTAAAAGTAGGGCCCGAGAAGCACCTGAATCAGAATCTCCTGGCGAATGTGTGACAAAAACAAAGATCCCTCGGCCCCAGACTGGGTTGATAGAATCAAAATGCCTGGGGGATGGGCCCTGGGGAATCTCATTTTTTACCAGAATCCCAGATAACTAATTTGCCTTCCTGTTTGGAAATCCCAGCAGACACACACACTGAGAGCCACATTTGAGTTATTGTAAAGATCTGTGACAGCTACAGTCAAGGTCAGGGGGACTCAGGGAAGTCTCCTTAGGGAGGTGATACTGGAACTGAGGCGTGAGGGGTGGGGAAGGGTTGCAGGTGAAGAAAGACCTAAGGAAAGGCACAGACACCAAACAGGCAGTTCCGGACAGCTCCAGTGAACGGAGGTGACCTGAATGAGAATTCAAGACAAGGAGTCAGTATAAGAAATTCAGACTTTAGAGAGCCTATTTTGTAAGCAGATGACGCAAGCAGATTTTATAAAATTGAGGTATAACTGACCTTTAATGTTATATTAGTTTCAGGTGTACAACATAATGATTTAATACTTTTACACATTTCAAAATGATCACAATAGCTCATTAACATCCATCACCACACAGAGTTACAAAAAAATATATTTTCCTTGTGATGAGAACTTTTAAGATCTACTCTCTTAACAATTGTCAAATGAGTAATAACAGTGTTATTCAGATTTGCTTTTAATAAAGAGCAATTATGTGGATTAATTCACATATAGTGAAAACACTGAGTTGACAGAATTGCAAATGGGTGTAGGATGGAGTGTGATTTGGCAAATGCATCGAAAGGGCATGTAAAGTTCCCTGACCAGAACCCGTGGGCCTAAATGTTACTGAGAAATAAATGGGTATTTAAATTGAAGAGGATCTCTAAATCAACATGAGAAGGAAACTGAGACAGGAAGAGAGAGAAAGGACCATGATTCCAGGAACAATTTTTTAAAGTAATATGTGCACTTTCAGGGTTTTTTTTTTTTTTTTTTCTTGTCATACTGCCTCGGAATCCAATCGCTTATCCAGCTCTCCATATTTTTTTCTGGAAAAATACCAGGACACAAGATGTGTCAAGTGTATGTTTAGGGTGGGGTGGGCCTGAGGGAGTCAGGGTTGGGGAGGTGTGCAAAGGACTAAGGGTCCAGGATTGGACAGGCATAGCCCTGTGACTTGGCCCATTTTCTAGAACCTCCCAAGTCTTAGACTTATCATGTACATTAATAATATAAATATTAGGTTTGGATAATAGTAAACATCACCCAGAGCTATTCCAAGGATTGGCTGATATACACAGCTTGGCATACAGTGGGTGCTTACTGGAGGAGAGACAAATAATGTGAAATGGCAGCAGTGATAAAAATCATTATAAAAATATACTTTCCTTATTCCTTGGGTTGCTGAGCTTAGAAGATTCCCAATCACATTTTCACTTGGAAGCATTTTGGCCTGGAAATAACCGAAACTGGGAGGTTCCTCCCACCCTCAAAAGTTGTGTGCAGAGTGCAGCTCACTTTGCTCGGGATTCATTTGAAATGGCCATGGCTCATCACTCTGGTGACTCAGCTCATGGCATTGCCACAGTGATCCGCGGGCAGCAGGTGCAGTGCACAGCCTCTCTACTAGGACCTGGGCTGGCTGTCCTGGTTGCTGCCCCTTAGCCCTCGGGAGGTTCCCCTCTCCTGCCAGAAAGGTGTCAGGAGTGGCTGGGCCTGGCCCTAGAAGGCGCCCTGAACAAGTCACTCCACCTGACTCACAGCACTGGGCGGGCCACATCACTGGTACTAGGGCATTCCAAGGGGAAGGTGAGCTTGTCGTGACAGAAGCCCCAGACTCAGGGCTGAGTCACCCTCTGTGTGTCCCCAGCCTCCCCCTCCACCCTTCCCTTCCCGGCCTCCCCTCCGGACCTAACTGTGCCCATTTCTGGGAAGGCATTAGGTAATAGATTGCCCAGACCCACTGGTGCAGCCACAGCCCAGAAAGTGTTAAATCATTGGCCCAGAAGCCAGGTAATTTCTTGGCTCAGGGAGCCAATAATCCATATGTGTTTGCTGTATACAGACCTTGAATGGGGTTGAGATGGGGGAGGGTGACATAGAGGGTGGCCAACATGCTCCTGTGTGCCCAGGACTGTTCCAGTGTTAAACTGGAGAGTCTTGGGTCTCAGGAAGCCCCTTCACTCTTGGCAAATAGGAGAACTGGTCCCTAAAGGGTCAGGGTGCTAAGGAAGAGACGCGTCTGCCCCTAGAATTGCTGACTGGTGAGGACGTGCTGATGCCTGACGTTTATAT